GTCATAATTAATATGGTTACAAGCAACAAAAGGATAATCTTTAAATGGTTGCAACGCATTATCTATTTTAGCTTAAATCAAGTTATTTCTAAATAACTCATGCGACAAAACGGAAGATGATTTAGAAAATAAATCAATAAGATCAACGTTATACAATGATGGAAACAAAACAGATAGTAAAAAATCTTATTCTAATTGAATTCATGAATCAAGTCTCAACCCTCCAGACACTGGTGACATTTGAAGGACTGTATCTAATTTAAACAATTAAATAAAATCAAAAGTAAAACATGCAAACATGTGTAACTGCTTATTTGAGAATAACCGACGAAATGTGCGTCCTGGCGCTAATTTCCAGCCCTACATCGCCGCTGAACACTCTGGAAAGAAATCTGCTTATGATAAGTTATTCTTTTTTTACCATGGTCAGAGCAATATCTCAGTATATAATAGCAAGTGATAAATCATATATTTGGGATATGGATGATATTTGGATTAGATATGGATATCACCCCGGGTATTTATTAAAAAAAATCATTTTTCAAAAACATTTTGTCTCATTCAAAAGAGGATTTTAGATATATGTTGCTCTTGACCATGGTCATGATGGTATAAGGTCGTTATTCACATGTCGGGATGATATTGAGAATATCCCTCGGATGATATCAATATTTCCCTCTGTCACTGCGTTCCCTCGGAAATATTAATATCATGTGATATTCCCCATATCAAATCCCTCCTGGTGAATAACTTCTTTGTATATACTTTGAACAAATTTAACAATGAAACAGATACACAATGCATGCCAAACATTATCTATTGTTATATTATGGTTATTTCATAGTTTGCACTTGTATTCAGCAACTGTGTTTCTCAAACCCAATATGGGATAAACCTTTTTAGGGTTAACACGTCAGACTTAACGCGTTGCTTGAGGCAAGATGCATAAACTATATAATTCCACGGCTTTAACTCGAAGAACGCCGCTGTTGTGTCTGTGCCCCTTTAGGATGGACCGTATATTGTTCTTGTGTGTATCTTACCCACGGGAACCTACAAAACAGAAACATATATAATTACATTATGAAAAGGTCCCGTCTATATAAATCCCTAGATTCAAGTCGTGGAAACATCCCCATATTTGCAACAAAACAATGATAAACCAAAGTCAGTAAGTAGTAGTCGTACCATTATGCATGAATTGTAGCTTTTGGGAAAGATGATAAAACGCAAAATGTAAATTAAATACTTGGTGAAGTCTGGCATTCATGATCTGACAGGAAAAGGGAAGGCGTTGATTATAATTAAACGTAAAAGCAAAAGTTGACCATTGCATCTCGGTGGTTATCATGACAAATAAATGCTCATTCGAAGACGACCACTGAATCCAAATCCAGTTCACTAAAACAACGTATTATAAACAAATAAACTAAATCACTATTACTATTATAAATTAATATAGATAACGTGTTTTTTATATCCTATCATTGACATTAACTACCGCGTTCCAACACAATACTCTTGATTTCAAATGAATCGGAGCAAATGTGACCTAGACTTTAATTGGAATATATTTTCCACTGATGTACACACATATCCGGGCTAATATAGTTCTTAAATTTAATATATACAGAATATCACATCATTTTGAGTGATATCATTTTTATCGCCGAGTTGATAGCAAATATCAACACGAGTGAGCGAAGCGAATGAGTGTTGATATTTGATATCTACGAGGTGATAAAATGATATCACGAGAAATTATGTGATATTGGGTTTATCCCATGATTACAATCACCTTGTGATGTTCTGATCCAATTTCCAGGACATTGGCAGACAATATAAACTAGAAATTAGAATATCAATTGAATATTTGAAACATTTTATTTTAACCATTAAAAGTAAATAACATGATATTGTTCGTCATAAATACCATTTTTAATCGTTAGTTAGCAGCCTTCTTATCAAATTATATACACAATCGTAATTCAATACACCAATGAAACTTAAAGAGAATAAATTAACGGACCAATTTTCTCAAAAGAGAATAAATTATCTGACCTAATTTCCAACAATATTGTGGCGCAAAATGCAGATGTGATATCACACGGATATGCGTGAGATAAACGATATCACACGCATATGAGTTTGATAAACGATTTTCTGGAAAATATCACACGGATTTCAATAATATCAGAAATATCAATAGCTGTTATTGTACAGATAACACATTAATCGTGGGATAAAATATAATACTATAAATATATAAGTATAATACTTTAAATATTGTTTCTGAAACAGTGTTGTACAGTGTTGTCTAAACGGTGTTGTACAACGTTGTTTCAGAAACGGTGTTGTACAACGTTGTTTAAACAACGCTGTACAACACTTTTTTGAACAACGTTAAACGGTATTGATTAAACAACGTTGAACAACGCCGTTTCTGAAACAACGTTGTACAACGCCGTTTAAACAACACTGTACAATACCGTTTCAGAAACAACGTTGTACAGTGTTGTTGGAGATTGGCTGTGTAGGGGTGGCAATCATCCAGATTATGGTTTGAGATTATATGATTTTTGATGTGTATCACTTTTAATTTTGAAATGTAGGTAACATTCATGAAAAATAGTCATTTGGAATATATCCGTTGTTGAGGTATAGAAAAGACTTAATTTTATGACATTTTACCATCAAAAATGCACTTCATTTTGGATAACCTAACAAATATAGTTTTCATAAATATTAGTGAGATCATATGATATTTCTGCATTTTTGTAGCTTTACACAGTCTTCACAGAATACCTCTTTCTTGTAAACACTGTCACAATGAATTTACAGATTCAAAAATGTGAATTGAGTGGCTTTGAGCCCCTCTTCATGGGAAATGACCACAGAACAATGAGAACATACATGAAGATAATATACTAATTCTAAAATATTATCTTTATTGTGTTTTGCAGTATTTTATGTATTATATTACGGTACCTGTATTGATTTGTTTTTCACGAAAGTATGAGCTTTAACTACATTGATTCTAAGCACATGTCAAGTCTAAGATCTTACAGATCAAGCTGTGAAACTGCTGAATTATATTATGCCATGTAAATTATATTTACCATGTCATCAGGGCTCATTACCAGCATGTGCTTGATGCATTTCTCATGAATTGCTTATATGATCTTATAACCTTAGATGTATCTTGAGACCAACTTATGGGTATATAGTATTGCCAAAAATATTGAGAAAATCAACAGAACAACCAACTGTCAGCATTGAACACTGTTGAGTTTGATCATGGCCATCGAGGGAAACCCTTTCAAATGACACGTACACACAACCATCAGCAAACTCGGCACGTGTCTTGAGCCAGGCAGCCAATCAGATTCAAAGCCAGTTTTTAATTTCTTTTAGAACTGTCATTTACGGGGTTGTGTTGGTCACATAACCATACTGATAAACAAATTTAATGACCAATCAGATAATATATTGATTTCCCCAATTTATTCAAGTTTCACATAATTAATTTTGAAGAAAATAATTCGCAAAATAACAGTCAGCACAATCACAAAATTAGCACATAAAGCGGCAGAGTTGGGGCTTCTTTGTTGGTAAGTAGATAAGTGAATATGTAATTCAACAAGCAAAAAAGTCCAAAGGGGTCTTGATTGTGCTTTCCTATCGCCACATCCCTCTTTAAAATTTCGATAAAATGAAGCATGGGCAATCTTTGCCAGGTTTTGTTTATTGATGATTGATTATTCATAGTAAGTGTTCAGGAGTGAATAAACACACACATGCACACAACATGTGCCATGTTTTTTATAGTCCTTATCTTCGTTCAATGGGATTTGTGTTTCAGATAGTTCTGAGAAAAATGGCAGATCAATGCAGATTTAACAGGTAAAATCACATCAGGATTTTAGAGATTTTTTCTATATTATAGCAAAACTTTCGCTTCATTTGTGCATTCTATCTTTGTGATAAAAAAGTCTTAGGCATCTTTAAGCAAATCCATTCAGAAGGAACACTCTATTTAGTTTGAAAACCTTATTATGCATCAAATCTACTTGGACGGACATTGTGTGGAGCTTTCCTAGGTCTGAACCCTACTCGACCTTCGTTCAGTAAACTTAGTTCAAAATATAAGAACCCTACGATATCTAGAAACGGTAAAACTATGGTGTGTAAGCAAAATTAAGCTAGCCCTCCAGGGTTCTAACCAGGAAATTTTTAGACCCCAGATTTTTTGCAGTATTGCGACTACTTCTCCCCCATGTGAGATCGGAGATATTTCTCTAAGTATACTTTTCGTATATACTTTTTAGATCATATTCTTATTTTAATCACAATATAGACTACATTTCTAAAAGGTTTTTGACTTTCTATTCCACAAATAATGTGACAAAAATGTAAAATTAGACTACGGAAAAACACTAAGACTCCGGAAAAGCTATTAGACTCTGGAGCAAAAGGGTCTAAAGACATCCTCTGGAGTCTAAAATCCTAGTGAGAACCCTGCCCTCGTAGAGTCTATCATCAATGAATGAGAAGTTACATGAGTAAAAAAATTAATGAAAAAATCAAAATGCAGATTTTATTTGTAAATCGGACCTAAACAATTTCTCAATACCCTAAAAACAAACATTAAGTTTCATTACATTAAAATTACCAATTTCATACTCACAAATGCCAATACTCATCGCTATTTCAGACGATTTGTTACTTTTCTCGAAAAGTTTTGCAAGCCAACGTGTACTTCCGGTGTTTGAAACTGGTGTAAATTCCGGATATCAATCAGAAAAAGCAGTTTCAAAGGTTATGAAACTTTTTAGGTTGTTGTTATTTTTCAACAAATACATAGTAATATATAGTATATATTTCATCTATTAATGCATCTGAGTATACATCTTCCAATATGTATTTTTATATCAAGTAATGCAAATTTTGTCTGCTATTTTAGAATTTACACAACAGCTGGTCCAGGTCAAGGTCAGCATTTGCAAACTCTTCAAACGTGATAAGAATTTTAGTTAGGTCACGTTTACGACAGTAAGTACCTTATAACAATAAAAGAAGCACCCAGTTCACCTCTGGAACGTAGAAACACTATCCAGGCGTCAATTGAAGGAAGATCCAGTCCCCAAAATAAGTAACAGAACGCAAGACAGATAAGATAAAAATGTCAATAACTTTGAAAACTTTGATCAAGTTTCAGAGCAGATTTTGCAGGGAAAGTTCAAAGGTTGTTTCAAACTTCTCGACAAGTTCCAGAGATGACGCAAGGAGGGATTACAAGCTGGTTATTGTTGGAGGAGGTACGGGTGGAACAGCTATCGCAAATAAATTTGCAAAGAAGCTTGGAAAAGGAAAAGTTGCTGTTGTCGAACCAAGTGAGGTGGGTGTGTTGATAGGGGTTTGTGTAAAATAACAGGTTGCTTGGTAGGATTTCCGTCGGCTGGGGGGTGACAACTGTTGCTGTACTGTTCAGTACTGTTTACACCACTGTAGCGCTGGAAGATTATGTTGCGGAATGCGGATTGGGGGTGTAGGGTCCAGGGGCATGCCCCCAGAACATTTTTGAAAATTAGGCCATCTCTAATGCATTTTGAGCATATCTGATAGCAGTATTTGCATCATGAAATCTAAAAAAAATTCTGGAAAAGTGTTTTGTAAGAACATGGAATACGAAATTCGTTAGAATGGAGCAAAAAGGTAAGAATATTCTATATTTTACAAACTAACATTACTTGACTTCTATCTAAGATGTTTTTCTTCATACCCACATATCTATTTAGGCGATCATTCCATCATTTATCACAGTACTCGCAATTATATACCAAAAATGCCAGAAATATGTACTAAATTTGCATTAAGTGTTATTTAATTACCGTATTCTCTGTAATTAGCGCCCAGGGCGTTTAGAAAATTGAAAATACATTATTTAGACCATTCTAATAAGCGCCCATGTATGAAAGAAATCAGAAATCCCGAGGAATTTCATGTATGGCAATTTTTCTTGACAAGAATGCATTTTCTTCAACATATTTTTATAATAATATGACAAGTGCTGTTATTGGAGAGAATACGGTAAAGATCGCTTAGACAATATTGACAGTGGTTGAAGACCCGTCTATGTCTAATTTATTTCCGGCACGCCCACTTTGTCATTATCGCCGATTACCTTCAATATTTCCACTAGAGACTGCTGGATATCGATCTAAAGTTATACATTATTTCTAATTTGATGAGAGATCATCATTATTTGTGCAAAAGTCGTGTAAAAGTCGAGAAACATTAAAAAGAAACCAGAAAGTTCACGACCTTGACATGCGCAGAACATCTGCGCAGTAGCTTTTGAAATTTCTGAATGCCGATAAAGAACAATTCCTTCATTCATTATGGACTATTTGGAGACAATATTAGCATGGTATGGTGTGGGAAGCACCCATCGATAGATATGTATCGAGAGGATGCATAGAATTACAAAACGCGTCGTGTTTACAGCAGTTTTAGGGTAAGTACTCTATTATCGCCCGCTCCTGGATTTTGAGAAATATTTTTTTCCTGATATATTCTTCAATTCTTGTTGATTCCTCGATGTTTCTTGAACTTTGTGAAGCGGGGTGGGCGCTTATTAGAGAGTGGGCGGTAATTACAGAGAATACGGTAAGTTTAAACAGACAGTTTATCCATTCAACATCGTGGAATAATATTCACTACTCTAAAGATTGTGTTTATATTTTAACTATCTTTATCTTAAAATTGCCATAAATGACTGTAAATTTAGAAAGTGGAGTAACAATGGAGAAGGGATATTTATGGACACGTCCAAATAGTTTAATCCAAAAAAAATTATTTGGTCAACTGCTACTTATTTGATTTGTGGTTTTCGCACATTGTGAGTACTTTCCTTATGAATCGATGTATTTATTGAATACAAGGCAGGCTAGTGCTTTTCAGGCAAAAATATGTGTGACACTGCCAGAATCGCTCATTTTCCGATTTAACAATATCCACTGTTAACACTTGGTCACCGTGAAGTATCTAAAGATGCTTGTTTTACATCGTACTTGACATAATTGTTGGGTTTATTCATAATCTGTACAGTTCAAGTGACATACTTGCTATAAACTTAACCATAGTAAATTGCTAGTGTGAACATTGGTTACATAACCAAAACCAAATATTATTTGTTCCATTGCCAAACATTAATGGCCATTATGTCTATATTGCGCAAATAATATAGATCAATTTGAAGCCATTCCAAGTTATATTAAACCCTTATGTTCTGTATAAAGTACAAATGTGCAAAGATACTCTTGCAGCCTTTTGCAACATTGCTGCCAAATACTGTAGAAACAATTTTAATCTGTATTTTGCAAGAAGTTGTACCTTAAATGATTTTTCTTGTCAAATTTTTCCAGTGACACAAATGATTATTAGCCAATTCTGAATTTTTAATTTTCATACTGTTTTTATGTGACCGCCAAAAGTGTTGGCATATTGTTATGATCTCCAATGTTTTTGTGACAATGGTTATTTGATGTCTGTACCAAATGGCAGGTGGTGACATTTTGCAAGTTAATGCCTTGTATAATGTATGCTATTATACTTATTTTGTTATTTGTACTTGTTGGTATTCATTAGAAGGGCTTAATCAGGTTGCATTCTTGTTTTTAGAATCTAATTTGAATACTCTTGAAGCAATACTATATAGTAAAATCTGTATATAGTATAGTATATAAGGTCTTCATTGAATGTAGGTGTTTACAACAGAGAGGCGATTTTATACAGAGGGAAATGTAAAATGTAACTTGAAGTGGTGTTCATTAACACAGGTGTTCTCTTGAGAGAGGTGTTCACCAAGACATGTTTTATTGTATTTGTGTTGAAAACCTACCTTATGTATGTAAAGGCCCAGTCACACCGCCTAAACATTGCTGGAGCATTCCTTGAACGTTGAAAAAAATCATCAACGCTCGTAAACGTTCACCACCGTTTAACAAAAGTTGGCATCCGTTAAAGCAACGCTGTAAACGCTCGGCCAACGCGGATGTTTCTCGAATGGCCATCCTAACGCTCCAAAAGTTTTGAGCTGCTCAAAATATTGCGAGCGTTGAAAAAGGGACAATTTTACGCCCTGGCAAAGTTTATCACCGCTCAACCAACGCCCAGTCAAAGTTTGGCACCGCTAGACGCAAGTTCGTGGACGCTTGAATCCGCTATAGACCAACGCAGAAATCTTAACCGCTGAACCACCGCTGCTTCGCCAGCGTTGCCCGGGCGGCGATTAAACGTTGCACAAACGTCGGTGGAGCGGTTGTTAGCGTTTTATCAGCGTACATGGGGTTGTTGGAACGGTGTCGGACATTGTCGCAGCGTTCCATGGCAGGCCCGTCAGATGGGGGGGTGCGATGGGTGCGACCGCACCCCCCTTTGACACCCCCCCAAAAAATGTTGAAAAATATTTTTTTTGTAATTATCTTTCATCATCTCATACACTTTGAGAGTGCCCAGAAAGCATCAAATAGCATCTTAAAATTGTAAAATTTTCTAGAGGGAGTGGGTCACCCCTCACACCCCCTCAATACAATGGAAAAGTTCTGAATTTATTTTATGTATTGTCTCAGACACTTTTAAAGTGCCCAAGTGCCCAGACTTCATAACATAACTCCTTGATATAGTCAATGTTTCTGGTGGGGGACAAACACTTGCTCCCCTTCGGGATCCCCACCCTACCCCACCTCCCCCTCTGGCACCCTCGGCCTCGCCCCCTGGACACCCCTCCAAAAAATTGTGATTTTCTCAAATTTTTAATTGACTCATACACTTTGAAAGTGCCCAGAGAGCACTAAATAGCGTTTTAAAATTGTAAAACTTTCTAGGGGGAGTCGGCCACCCCTCACACCCAAAGCAAAATTGAAAAGTTCTGAATTTATTTTATGCATCATCTCAGACACATGTAAAGTGCCCAGACATCATCAAATAGCACCTTGATATAGTCAATGATTCTGGGAGACTAACACTTACTCGCCCTCTTGCATCCCCACCCCACCTCCCCCTCTGGCACCCCCTCCCCCTTTGACAACCCCCAAAATATTGTGATTTTTTCAAATTTTTTATTGAGTGATACACTTCGAAAGTGTTCAGAAAGCACCAAATAGCATCTTAAAATTGTAAAATTTTCCAGGGAAGTAGGCCACCCCTCCCATCCCCCACAAAAAATTCTGAATTTATTTCATGCATTGTCTCAGACACTTTTAAAGTGCCCAGACTTCATCAACTAGCACCTTGATATGGTCAATGTTTCTGGGGACAGATATTGGGGAAAAACATTTGCTGGCCCTCTGGCACCCTAATCTCACCTCCCCCTCTGGCATCCCCCTTTGACACCCCTAAAAATTGAAAAAATGTAATTGTTTTTCAATTTTTTTTCGATTGACTCATACACTTTAAAAGTGCCCAGAAGCACCAAATATCATCTTAAAATTGTAAAATTTTCTAGGAGAGTTGACCACCCCTCACATCCCCCACAAAACAATTGAAAAAATGCTGAATTTCATGTATTGTCTCAGACATTTTTAAAGTGCCCAGACATCATCAAATGGCACCTTGATATGGTCACTGTTTCTTGGGAACAACCCCTTAATGCTCCCCCTCTGACACTCCACCCCACTTCACCCTTTCATTCTCTTTGACATCCCCAAAAAGAATTTGAAATTTTTTTTATCGACGACTCATTCACTTTAAAAGTGCCCAGAAAGCACCAAATGGCATCTCAAAAGTGTAAAATTTTCTAAGGGGAGTGGGTCACTCCTCACAAGTTTGGAAGTTGCATTTGTTAATTTTAAACGCTTTAAAGTGCCTAGAAGTCACCAAGTGACATAATGAAATCATAAAAACATAAAAATTTCTGGCAGCCAACCCCAAAAACAAAAGCATTCATTTACTCAAACACATTAAAAGTGCTCAGAATTAACCAGACAGCATCTTGAATTTGTAAAATTTTCCTTGCTGCCCCCCTAAGAAGAAAATGATTGAAAAAATCTGAATTTCTTATAATTAGATTCTGTTTCAATTAAAACACCTTGAAAGGATCCAGAAATCACTGAATGTGATCTTGAACTGGTAAAAGTTCTCGGGCATTTATGCCCTTCTAGTACACCCTCCCCCTATTCCAGTATTTCTCCAAATTGCTCATACAATATTTAGTCTAAAAACAATACGAAAACAATAAAATACTACAAAATATAGGGAGTAACCGACCCCCCCCCCCCCCCTTTGACTTACGCAATTTGATTTACGCGGCAAAAAATGGACAATTTTATTTTCTCTAGTTAAAACCGCACCCCCCTTGGAGAAAAGTGTCTTACGGGCCTGCATGGCAGCGATGAACTTTGCTTTGGCGTTGGTATAGAGGTGTCGGAGTGGGACCAGAATTTGGCTATAAATACGTGGAGAAATGCACCACTGTGTAGAACACTGTGGAGACACTTGTGCATTTTACATTTGATATATATTCATGTCTGGCATTTCAATTTTTTGCATTGCAAATTCCTAAATTAAGCGCTCAAAGTTTGTGATTTTGGATTTTAAAAAGGTGAATTATGCGATTTTTGTTTTTCATTAAATGTTAATACAAATAGACTTTTACTGAGACCTTTATTCAAATATAGTATATACCTAGTGTTTTCACGTCAAGCAATTCAATAAATTATCAGTGAATTTTCTGCGCAGCTTGTAAAATGTTGCACTCGTCATGATATTATACAAAAAGTTGATGCGCGCACAGCAATGCAAAAATTTGTCATGCGTCATGATTATTACTTTGCTGTAAATGTTATTTGACATTGTTAAAGCAATTTGAACGCAAATCGGTTCCAAGTAATGGAAATGCAACGATTAAATTGTGATATGTTTGTTTGAAATGATATGAGAGATTATTAAAGAAAATTGTAATGTTATTCATTCTTAATGTCATATTACATTAATAGAAGCACTTTAGATTTAAAACGTTTCTTCTTTAATCCTTGAAGGACTTTTGTTAAAGTTACAAATTCCAATAAAGGTCTTTACTCTTAAACACTTCCCACTTGAAATAATTTCCCAGTAGTCAAATGCGATATGCTGCTAAACCAACGCTGCTGCTATTTATACCCCCGCCAAGGCAACGCTCTCATGCGCAGAACGCCGCTATACCAACGCTCGCATTGCCGCTAAACAAACGCTAGCTACCGCTCACAACCGCTTAACCAACGCTAAAGCAACGCCGGCTTCAGTGGTGCACCGCTAAGCCAACGCCCGTGTTTTTGTTTTTTTCCCTTCCCCATTTTGTGCGCGTTGACGAGCATTGATGAATTTTTTCAACGTTCAAGGAACGCTCCAGCAACGTCAGGGCGGTGTGACCGGGCCTTTAATAACATAAAACTTAGTATACTTTATAATATTTTGAATATTTTTATTTTTGGATTGCAGACAGATAAACCTTCAAGCCACTTTGATAATGCAACTATTTGTTGGTTCCCAAAATATATGATATCCTTTTACCTGTTTTATTTACATAATGTATTAGCATATTTATAAACATGTACCAACTCTTTCCAGACCCACTATTACCAGCCTATGTTCACTCTGGTGGGGGGAGGTATCAAGACCCTCTCCCAGACAGCCTCACCCTCAGACTCACTCTTCCCAAAGGGAGCTGATTGGATAAAAGACAGAGCCGCAGCTTTCGACGCAACTAACAATGTTGTCACCACTGAGAATGGAGATGAGGTTAGATTTTAATAATACTGAAGTTCCAAGGTAAAAATGTTGATGCCAGGAAAGTTAATTTCATATTGGTTAAAGGCTTCACTTTTTCTGATTTTAACAAGATTAAAAATGATGTTGATATGCTTTTCAGAAATGAAATCACCATTCATTCCAACTATTTTTAACATTTAGACACCTGTACAACCATCCTTCAACAAAGACCCATTTTATCAAATAATGTATAAAAATACATGTAAATGATCTTGCAAATCTTGTAAATGATGATGCGAGTAGGTAATTACCATTTCCCCCACCAGCTGGCTAATTTGGGGGAAATAACATGGAAGGAAGTGTATTAGAAAGTTCCCTTAAACTTCAATATTCATCAGTTTTTGTGGTTCAATTTTCATATTACCCTTGTATTGTATCTGATACTTATAGGCTCTTATACAAATTGAAATATATCCTGGAAAAGAAAATATTATCTGTCCAATATAAGAAAAGATATTTTACTTTTTGCAATTTTATAACATGGGGTCTATGGAGAATCTCCCTGACCTAGAACTCACATTTTCCAAGAAAATTAAATTTTTAAAGCTGATAAACACTTTTTAAAATCACATTTCTAGATGTAATTTTATATGTAGATTTCAAATATGACATCACTTTGGCAGAATTTTTAATGATATAAATCAAGATTATTTCTACTCGCATCTAGTCTATTAACCAACATTTTGCCAAAAAATAAAGGAACACTCTAAAAACCAACATCCGCCAATACCACCATAACTTGAGGATTTATCAATAGTCTATTACCTAATAGAATTCAAGTAGAAGCTACTTGATAAACTTTGGCCTAATATAAGTTTACTTTATCAGCTAAGAATGACAGCTTCAAGGAATAGTAAAACTGATTGAACTTCATGATGCAGTTAGTAATTCAATTCATACTAAAATCAAGACAGTTAAAAGCATTTATGGATTTCACAGTTTAAAAGAAATTACTTGTAAATTGTTATGAGAACATTTATTTCCAAAGAGTGCTCAATTGTAGTAAATACAGTTGTGGAGCAGAAATTGCACTCCCTTTAGTTTTTATGTTTCTTTTATCATTGTAATACCCACACCCTTTTTGTCACGATATCTCTAGAGAGGAAACAATCAGCTGATGAGAGACTTATTATTTTTGCCTAATTTTCTTGTATGAACTTTTATGCATCTATACAAATTTATCTCCTTTAGGTTCATATTAGCAATGATTTTATATCTCATTTCCATAAGTGATGTCATTTTATTTGGTCTGTAGATGTCAATGCACTAGATGTGTTCAATCAATATTTACAATTCAATCATTTGTATTTTCAGCTACACTATGACTACCTTGTGATAGCAATGGGAATTCAGATGAACTTTGATCAGGTAAGATGAAAAAGAAGCCGCCATGTATATCATCAAATTGATTACATTTGGGGAAATAGTACAAGTTGATAATATTTTGTTCTGTTAGCATCTTGATTCATCTTGAAATTTGACTGCAACACTATTTTCCTTTACATACTGAAAAATAGGCTGATCCAGGTCAAAAGTAACTTGCATAAAGCCTTTGATGTGAGAGACATCTATTTTCATTGTCAGGTGTTAAAAGCATAAAGACTTCTTGGCCGGAAATGTGACCTAAATAGCCCACCGGGATAGATTTTCATATTTGAAGGTGTTCTCATAAAAGATGTGATAATGTAAGAGTCTAAAAACTCAAACTGATAATTTAAGTGTTCACATTTCAAGATGTTCTTTTCAGAGATATTCACATATTGCTGTTCACATATTGTTTATGTTGTACAATGCTTATTCTTATTTAATCCCATTGTCTTATATTTAGATCAAAGGTTTAACAGATGCCTTGGACCATGACCCAATGGTGTGCTCCAACTACAACCCTGCATATGTTAATAAGACATTCAACGCAATAAATAAATTCAAGGAAGGCAATGCCATCTTTACCTTCCCCAATTCGCCAATTAAATGTGCAGGAGCACCACAGAAGATTATGTATTTGGCAGATTACCACTTTCGCAAGGTATATTTTAATTTTGTATTAATATTTTCTACATGTTTCATGTAAGCTATAATACTGCAGGGATTTCTCAGGATTGTGCGATCTGCATCCAATTCAAAAATACATTTGCAGCCCCTTTTCCCCTCCCTCTCCCTGCCCCTAGTCCCTCTTTCCCTACCTTTTCCATTCGCCTTCCCTCATTCTATCCAAGACCACCTCTTACTCAAATTCCCTGTGTGTCACCCTCCCAGTGGAACACCCTTCCCAGACATGAGCAGTGTCAACCACAGACTTGTTTTACCCAACATACAACCATGTCTAAGCTCTGCCCAGCCTAAACACAAGCTCTGACTAGACCCTAGTCGAGCTCCAGAACACCTCATATAACAATCATTGGTGTACTGAGTTGAGGCCCTGTAAATCACCCTCCCAATGGACACCCTTATCCCAGACACGAGCAGTGTCAGTCCAAAAGACAAGGTTGGTTTTACCCAGCCACTGTCAGTGATCTGACATTCAACAATGTCTAAGCTCTGCCCAGCCTAGACACAAGCTCTGACTAGACCCTAGTCGAGCTCCAGCACACCTCATATAACAATCATTGGTGTACTGAGTTGAGGTCCTGTAAATCACCCTCCCCAATGGACACCCTTATCCCAGACACGAGCAGTGTCAGTCCAAAAGACAAGGTTGGTTTTACCCAGCCACTGTCAATGATCTGACATATCAACCATGTCTTAGCTCTGCCCAGCATAGACACAAGCTCTGACTAGACCCTAGTCGAGCTCCAGCACACCTCATAAAACAATCATTGGTGTACTGAGTTGAGGTCCTTAAAACTATATGTTTGGTGACAAACTGAATAGGAAATTCACAAGTTATGGTTTCAACCATTTTACCATTGAGTTATGTTTTTCAGCTTTTTGATTAGAACCACTGAAAAATATAGTCATTGAATAACACAACTTTTGATATTGCATTTCTGGATTGTAATGAACCACTTCATTAGTTAAGATTTCATTGGATTGATTTAATAATATCATTTATTGCTTGCTTGGTCATCCAATCTGCATCATTTAGCAGGGTACATGTTTCTTGTACCAGTTTGAAGAGGTGAAGAATTACACTAATAAACTGTTCATAAATTGGCTAATTTAGTTCTCTGAATGAAGGTGTCAAAAATATCTAATAACTGAGTGTATAAGTTGGATGGAATTTTTCTGTATACAATTTATCTAAAGAAATATTTTGCATTTGAATATCTTCAGTCCTGACCAGTTAACAAACCAATGAAGTATTTAGGCATCTCAATTTTTATTTTGCTAGTTAGAATGATGTGGATTGGTGCCATGGGTTTTGAAATTATATGAAAAGTACCAGGTGTAAAATAGCAGTAAAATGACTGCATAAAGTGACCAAAGGCAACATAAAAGTGCCAGGTTCTTTAATAGAAGTTTGTTCAGATTGGGATATACTACATATATCATTAGATATATGATATTGATATACCAGCATGGGTGTTCAGCTGATGGGTGCTTAATGGGCTTTGTATAAAAAACCTCCTACCTCATACCCACCTACCCACCTACGTGGGACATGATACAGTCATTGAAGGGTTCAATTTTAAAGATTTTTAAATCTCAAACCAGCTGGGCTGTAGTAGCAACTTGCTATCAAGGGTCTTTCAAATGCATCTATAATTCATCATACCTAAGATTAAAAAACTAAGATCTTTAAAATTGAACCCTTCAAAGACTGTATCATGTCCAATGTACGTGGGTAGGTGGGTATGAGGTAGGAGGTTTTTTATACAAAGCCTGCTTAATGTACATTTGTATGTTTTAAATTGTATTGGTTGTTGTAGATGGGAAAAAGAGACAAGGCAAATATCCTGTACAACACCAGCCTCCCAGTTATATTTGGGGTGAAGAAATATGCAGATGCTCTACTAGAAGTGGTCAAAGACAAGTAAGAATGATTCTTTTGAATTTATTGAAACAACCTTAAATACAACATGGAAATGTCACTGTTTTATTTTTCTGCAACTGGGAATGCCTAGAGAATTTTGAAATAAGGCCAATAAGGGTTCAAAATGTCACAATAAAAAACTTTGAACATGAAATAATAAAATTTGTATCAGAGCTAAAAAACGAGTTAAAAAATTATTGAAGTAGCCCAGTTTTAAATAAGAAACATGGATTTTAGAGAGGATATTACGGGAATCTGGAAATTTGGAAGTTGATGTTCTAAAAGGTTGTAGAAACCATGTTAGATGAACAGTTCAATGTATCTGCACGGAAGATTAATACAGGGTTACACAAAAAATGCCACCCACTAATTTTGATGTAACTTTCTCAATAATTGAGGAATCTGTGATTTTTGTGTAGACAGTGTTCAATGGATACTAGATTGTTGTACTTGGATAGCAGAGATTAAGAGATAATTGTTTCACGTCAAGGCATACAGTGAAATTGTCAAAAAATGTTCAAAAATACAATTTTCTAAAATTGTCTTGCCATTCTAAAATAAAAAAAAATATGAAGATTCCTCATTTTTTGAGAAAGTAATTCCAAAATTAGTGGGTGGCATTTTTTGTGTCACCCTGTAATTAGCATGCCTTCACTTCAGGGGCATCACTACCAACTTCCGCACTTGCTTGACAGAAATCAAACATGACAGTAAGGAGGCAGTATTCCAGAATCTTGACACTGGCGACAATCAAACAGTAAAGGTATGTTGCAAGAATATTTTATTATAGTCTTAATATCCAGCCTCTGCTCCACCCTCACCATTCAACTGCCCCCTCCCCCACTATGCTTCATATTGCTGTGTTTATCTACACCAAGAAAAAGAGAGAAGGGGTTGTTACACATTGGGAGTTAAGAGGACATGCTCCAATATTATTTTTATTATTTTCTAACATACCTGCGTGCAAAGGTAATTGATATTTTCTGCTGCCCTCTGTTTTGCATAGCCCATGTTCTAATTGCACCCTGTTCCACATGCCCTCCATTCTATGAGGCTGTTCTACATGCCCTCTGTTTTATGAACCCGCTGCTCTACATGCCCTCTGTTCTATATGTCGTGAGTTCTACACACCCTCTGTTGTGCATGCCCTGTTTACCATACCCTGTGTTATATATACATTCTGTTCCCACACGCCCTTTGTTCCGCATGCCTTCTGTTCTACATGCCCTCTGTTCTATATTCCCTGTGTTCTACATACATGCCCTGGTTCTATATAATTCCTGATGTACACGCCCTCTGTTCTATATATCCTCTGTTCTTATAGTGGGACTGACTTCAGATATGATATAAGGTAAATTAAATTTCAGCATTCTCTCATCCATTTTAAACCACCAGTTCAACATAGGACAGTGATTGTAGCATATTTCCTATTTTTGGTAGATATTGTGTTTGAATATGAAATGTTGATTTTTCCCTTTTTTCCCTATGCCATTGTTCATAAAATTAAGGCTGATAATATCACTTATAAACCGTTGGTGTTCCAGTATGAGATGCTACATGCAGTGCCACCTATGTCATGCCCAGATGTACTAAAGAAACACCCTGATCTGGTAGATGAAACTGGTTGGGTGAATGTCAACAAGAACACGCTTCAACATCAAACATACTCAAATATATTTGCATTGGGGGACTGCACCAACATGCCCACATCAAAAACTGCAGCTGCTGTTTGTAAGTTCGAAACAGACGCATGTACTTACAATGTTTGTGTAAAACTGCATTATTTAGAAAAGATTTGACAGAGGCTTCAGAGAACTCCCCTCTGACGAGTTTTTGTTTCATTTTTTAGATAAAATGTATAGTTAAAGGGGGGATTGTATATTGGGTTTATCTAGAGGATGATATGATATCTTCCTGAAGGACCCTCTGGTCTACATGCCTTCAGTCCCTCAGGAAAATAGCATGTTAATAAAACAAAATACTTCAAATTCTAGAATAAGAAAATAAGATATTGGATGTGTATGTGGGGTATAGAGTAAGATTATTTTTTTAACTTGCTTTTACTGCCCTTTTACCTCATATCATTATGATCATGGTATTTCTATTCTCTGAACTTACAGCTGCACAATCTGGTATTCTACAGAAGAACCTCAACGCAGTCATGGATGGCAAAGCAGCCACACCTCTTGTATGTATATAGTGTACAAATAGATAATCAGAGGGATGGTTTGGGATATTGGGATTATTCCTAGGTACATGCTTTATCCAATTAAGAAACCGTAGGCAGACACTGAGAAGAAATGCCAAAATCCTAAACCTTCCGAGTATGATCATTTTTCCAACATTTAATGAATTTTTCTAGTGTAGGTAGAATATAGATGTACTTCACTTTTTCAGTATTCTTTTGTTGTATACCATACTGTTTGCACAAATGTGAAGATTATACCTCATTATTTACTTGAAGGAAATACCGCTGCGTAATATTGCCCCTGGCGAAAAAAGGAAATATTTCCTGTTCAGCACAAGACTCGACTTCAGTCTTCATGTATATTATATATTTATAATTGTTTATTTTCAGTATGATGGTTACACATCATGCCCCTTGATAACATCCAAAGGCAAATGTATCATGGCAGAGTTTGGATTTGACGGACCCCTTGAAACCTTCCCAATAAATCAAGCAAGGGAAAGCAGACTTATGTATCATCTCAAGAAAGATTTTATGCCTGCCCTTTACTGGATGGGATTGGTGAAGTAAGTTATCAAAACTTGAAAATACATGTGCTGTGCAACTTTTCCATTCCATTTGGTGTTTGGCATCAGGTAGTTGGTGTTTTGCATCTGTAACAAATGGCAGGTGGTGACATTTTGCATGTTAATGCCTTGTTTGTATTTAGAACCAGTGGTGATTTCATCATGTTAATAATACATTGTTATATTTTAGGGGGCACTGGAATGGACCAAAAGTGTACCGTAAACTCTTCCATCTTGGAATGGGCAAATAGATGTCTCCTTCGTCAGCAGAGAAGCTGATTACCCATGATTCCCAGATGCTACAATGAATAGAGGAACTGATAACCCAGGACCTTCACACGTTTCAATTAACATTACAGTGTAGGGTTGAATGTTATAATTAACAGGGAAGTGATTACCCAGCATTCCCAAATGTTATAATTAAATGAGGAACTGGTATTTGACCATAGAATGTACATGCACAATTACATTTTCTTCACATTTTTGATATTTTGAGTTATATGGCTTATGAATATTTCGATTCAAATGGGAATTAGTTGGCTGAATATTCAGTATAAGACTGCTACAGTATTAGTTTTAGCCCTATTCCAACGGTATTTGAGTTTTTGCCTGGATGGACAGACGGACGTAAGTACGGACATACATACAGATGGACGGAGGCGTTCCCTGTATCCCTCCGAACTTCGTTTGATTGGATAATGAAAAGGCAATAATCTGAAGAGTTGCATGTTTTTTAAATAATTAGATAATGCATGTCGGGGAGAGATTTATACAATCCATAATGCAATATATATGGCAATATTGTAACGCACATCATGCTAAAAATGCACAATTCACACCATGTAATTGTTCACTGTTGACATCTGTTGACATAATCATTCAATAATGACAATTGTAACTATATACAGTTCTATGATGCTACAATCCATCCCACACCACCCTTGTCTGACATGCTACATATCAAACTGTTAAAATTTATTTAAATTCATATTCAACACTCTGACCACCGATCAGACAGTTTTTAATAACATTCCAATAGGTGACATCATCTATTTTTAACTGTTTTTAACAAAATGAACATCGAACTGACACATTTTTTGGGGGGAAGGGGCTATGTATAAATTTAGTTGTTGGGAAGTCCATTCTTCACTGAAAACTGTGAAATTATGCTTTGAAGGTGTTGAGTAGGAGGTCTTGAGTAGAAGATAATGCAGGCCATGACTCTTTAGGAAAATACAGGCCATGCCTCTTTAAGATAATACAGGCCATGCCTCTTTTTATGATAATACAGGCCATGCCTCTTTTTATGATAATACAGGCCATGCCTCTTTATCCCATCATCTGTAGATTGTGATATTTTGGTTTATGGGGTAAGGCATTAATTGTGCCATTGAAAATTGGAATCAGGAATTTATTTATGAAATAGTTGCAATATTGTAGTTTATCGATTATAGCAGAGTTAATAAATGTAATATATATTATATACTGTATCTTCTGTAGTTTCTGCAGAGCGTGCAGGTCTGTAGTGTTATTTTTCTTGCCACTATATTTTCATTTGTTTGCCATTGTTAATAAAGTTTTTAAAATATATATTAATAAATAGACCTTATTCTTGTATATTGTCTTTTAATTAACTTAGCTTATATGTAATGTTTTATATATATAAGTAGTTCATTTGTGCCTCTGAAGATTGTCTCCAACTCGTGGCGTAGGATACATCATACATAATGTCCTAATTGTATTTTCTTGAGATGAACTTGGTGATTCTGCTTTCAAGACCTTTTTGTAGTGCTCTTAACTTGTTTACTGTATTTTTAAGAAATGATTTAATGAAGGCTAGCATTGTGTTACCACCACAAGTGGCATCTGGCAGTATGTGTTTGGAGTTTGTAACAAATGGCAAGTGGTGACAGTTTGCATGTTAATGCCTTGTATGATTTATGGCTCAATAACTGAGTACGTTTCATTTCTTATGATTGTCTTGATTTTGTGAGTAACACTATGAATTATAAATATTTTGGAATCATCAGAATGACAATCACACCTAAATGATACATGACAATCAATTCCTTGTTCATGTGAAAAACGTTATTGGGCGTTGTATAATGTTTATACCTGTATATACACATATCCCAAGGCATGGTGTTATCTTCTTGTATAATAAAGTTATTTTAGAAACAAAAGTGTCATGATATTGTATGGTTTTTATTATATTGACCCCTCGACCAATAATGTGGGATGCCAAAATCAGTTTTAGATTTTCATGAAACATCCCTCAAAATTTTAGATTCACTCATGAAACAGGTAAAACTGTGTAGACAGGACTTTACAGATTTTGGGACATCAGCTGTAAAGTTTCATACCAGGAAACATGTAAAATGCCTAAGAATTTACCAGGCATGCCCAAAATCTATCAGGTTTTAGGCTCATACAAAGAACACTCCTGAAAGTGTTAATAATGAATTGTGCCTGGAAATTCATACAAAAGTTTGGGACAGGAATTTGAATTGCCAAAAATGAATTATGGGTGGCAATAACATTAAAAACAGGATATTAATTTTTGACATTTTTTACTAAATTATTTTGTAAAACTACAAAAAAATTATTTTTAAGTTACCAGTTTAATTATTAAAACTTAGAGGCAGCATATTATATGATACATGATGGTATGAATGCTCGCTGACTTTTTAAGGCATTTAAAACGTAATTTTTCAAATCCATCAACTCGGGTCACTTTTGAAGTATTGACTATTCCAGAATTTACTATATAAGGATTATAGGAGATGACTTGAAATCCATATTTTGACCTATATGACTGGTCAGAATGCAACTGCAGACTTACACAAAGTACAAAACAATATTCAAGATTTGTATTTCTAATGTTTATATTGTTTAAGAAGTGAGTTTTAAGTATTTACATAAGTACGGGTATAAAAATACAGTTGTATACAATTCTATATCAGATCTTTTTCCATGTTTCAATATAAAATGCCACAAGTAAAACCTAAATTCAAACATCACTGGCACTAACAAGCAGTTATAATTTAATCTTGAATTGCAAACATTAAATAATTGCAAATATGTATATAAAGACCCTCCAAAGTTACACTTTCAAAAATGAGTCCTAAATGTTCACCCTAGCTAAGGCAATATGCATTAGTTAAAATATCATATTGTCCAATATTAAATGGTGAAAACAGTTAATCTCTTCAATCAAACTTTTTCATAAAGAATCAATGAAAAAGTCAATGAAACATGGAAAACAATTACATGAATTGATTGGTACAATGGTCAGATCTGTTTTGTATAGATTTCCAATATAATAATTACAATACAAATGAAATAATAACATGTTTTGCAATACAATCTTACTTTGATATGTTGTTTATCAAAAATGTTGGCAGGTCCATTGTCCATTGGGTTTGACCTAGAGATTCACTTTTGGAGTTATTTTGCTTTGTACTACTATGCCATGTTATACTATTATAGTAAATAATATCAGATCTTATTCATTGTTTGGTACATTTCGACTAAAACATCTGGAAAAAAGCAGGACTTCCTTACAAGTTCATACTGCTACATACATATTACATAGTACTAATATAGAAATGTAGTCATTATAATTAAAAGCATGCTATAAAATATTATACAGTGGAATGCATTATATGGAAAATGATGGCATTTGAAATATATACACAATGCCATACCTGCTTCTATATTGTATACATGTACATTTAAAAATATAAAATCAGTAATACAACCTGAAATATGATTAGTTAATGAAAACAAAAGTCCATGTTCTAAAAATATTTGATACATCCAAGATCAGATCAACTTATGTCTCATATTACTAGATCAGATTCCACTCATGGAATGCATAGATCTAGTATGTAATGTCATTCTGGATACCAACAATGGGCCTCGCTTTTCCAAATTATTTTCCATGATTTGATTCTGTGTAATTAGCAAGCAGGGTAAGGCGAATAGTTGTAGGATGCCACAGACCATGGCCATGTAGAATGACCACATTGGTTGGCCAGCAGAGGTGATGTAAAAGCGAATCTCATCCAATGTTCTCGCACCAAATATGATAAGAGCAATAGTGCAGAAAACCACTGAAAGTAAACATGGTAATTCTAAATATTGTGAAACTTAAGCAGATTTTGGGTAAAATGATTTGAAACATAATATGTCTCTAATATGGTAATACAAAAAATGTATACAGAATACAATTGGCAAAAAGTGGGCATTATTTATATTCAAACAAAAATCAAGTGATGAGATAAAGAAAGGAGTTGTAAATGTGACGGAGAGGCTTCTCCTGGAGGTAAAGGGATATTCATAACATAACATAGCCTTAATATGTTCAAAATAAAGTCTCATTTGATAAATATATTAAAAGGTGTAGGTAGAAATAGAATTACAATTTATTGTATCAGATAAACTATTTACCTGATGCTAGAGAGAGGAACATTGCTGCTCTGGTAAGACTGTATGAAGCCGTCCTAACACAGACCCCAGACCAGCTGCAAACCAAGCTGACTATAAGACATAGCAAGCTCAATGTGTAGATTCCTTGTACTGCCTTGAACCAGTCTAGTTTTTCTGAAATGAGTGCAAAAATGTCAATGTCTCATTAATCATAAGGAAGTTCAAGTCAATTTTTGCATATATGTATTTCTTAGTTATTACAATTTAAATGTATAGTAAAACCTGTATATCTGAACACCTGGCTAATCCGAACACCTTCCAATTTGAACACTTTTTTTCGGTCCCATTTTTTCCTACCATTGACTCCCATGTTAAATAAACCTTGAAATCTGAACACCTTCTAATCTGAACAGTGAACAACCAGATATGAAAAAGTGACCTGTCTAATCTGAACATTTTTATCAGAAATCAAATGTCTGGACATTTCAATAATAGCCACATATTGAATCAATGTTATAGTTGTTGTTTATCTTTACATATACATGTACAATGTAATGAAAGAACCAATACTGTCCTAATTAACTTATTTAGTCTCAGTGACATCCCTTATTTGTGGAAAACAACAGGGTGATTTGAATAGGTGTGAATACAGGAGTTAATTGGTTTATCCTATTAGAAAAGAACTGAATGTTTTATGTTTGGATTAAGAGAAAGGTGTGAATCAAGAAGATAATTGATTTATCATTATTAGAAATTACCTGGATGTTTTTGATTTGGATTAAGAGAAAGGTGAGAATCTGGGAGATAATTGGTTTATCCTTATTGTAAATTAACTGGATGTTTTTGATTTGGATTATGAACAGGTATTAGATGTTTTATATCCCATGGGTCTGTTATGATAGCTAAGATTCAATCAGTAAATGTTTTATAATCACAAAGACAACACAGACACAATTGCAGACAAGATTTCACGAGAAAGAGAAAAAATGCAACTTCGTAATATCCGATCACTAAAATGCCTCCTAAAAAGGGAGGATTATACATCCATCATCTCAAAATTATTTTTACTTGAAGAGGATGTCTCCTCAAATATTGCTAATGCTAAAAGTGCCAAAAAAACAAACAACAATGAAGGACTTTTTAAGCAAAAGTAAAGCAGTGCTATATAACCATAATATGGGATAAGTCATTTGAGAAGCGTAAGATTTCGTACAAGACTATCATATACTTATACTGTCAGTGTATTACAAAGTTTTTGCCAAAATATCAGTTATTTTTACTAAAATAATGAAATTGTTCAAAATGTAAATAAAAATAGCATATAGGCTATAGGCCTATTGTAGAATAAACTCATCAACAACATGTATTGTTTTCTGACTTAGTATTAAGTGTTCAATATAGTGGACTGAACAATGAAAATCCCCCCCCCTCCCGATCAACAATATCCTCAAAATTTGAACACCTGCCAATTTGAACGCTTTTGGCTGGTCCCATGGGTGTTCGGATTAGACAGGTTTTACTGTACATGTATATAAGTAATAGAATTTGCTACAGACACCGAATTACGAAATGCCAGTCACAGAAACTGTCTATGACACTAATTCTTGGTGGTGACATCTAAATTAAACTGTTACACAGTTTCATCATTTTGGATTCACTTGTCCTCTGAACCCATGTAAATTCACAAAGATATATAATAGGAGCTAACACTGATTGCATGCCAGAGGGAATAATTATCATCAAATCCCTGGGTGCACCCATCCGTTCAACATACAAAACATCTAATAATATGGGACTTTACACTTTTGTAGAGGGGTAGTCATGATGAATTATTAAAAATCCCTCTTCATATTTTTATGCATCATTTATTTCTAATTTCATTCTTACCAGTTTCTGTTTCATAGAACTTCAATCCAAGCACCCTGAAGCATTCCATTGTTCTTCCTTCTACATATTCGCAAGCCTGCCATAATCCAACTGACTTTCCACGTTGCGACCCAACATCTCCAGCCCAATAAACAGTTGACATAGCAACAAATCCGCATATCAATGCCCCAAGTAAAAGAATGACACTCGCAACTTGTGTATTGGTCGCCATTTTCTGTAAAAATGCAAAATATATTACACACCTGTACAATCATGTAAGTTACAAAATAGAAGACATGTTATTAAATTCGAAAATTAACATTTTTATGAAAGACCCACTCTGAAGCATTGTTTAGTTAAATTTTACACAAGCATCGAATTTGGATTACATTTTGTCATTCATATCATATCGCTAAATATACCTATCATTTAAATTCAACAATTCTGGGATCCCTTTACTGTATGTACATGAATATGCCAGCTTTAGGTAGACCTAGCATCATGGACTTGGCAAAGGCAAGCATTGGAATGAATAAAGGGGTGTATTTTGATGAGGGACTAATTTTTCAACTAGTTTTTCTAAATGATAGTATAACCATTAATTATTGGTAAATATTTTTGACATCCAAAAGAGTTTGATTATATACCTTACTTCCTTATTGAAATTTTATAAATGTTTATTTTATTGAAGTAATGCTCCCTCTAATTGATAATTTTGTGCAAAATAATTCACTGCAATAAACACACAACAGAAAATAAGAGTACCAGTTCACACTCAGTCTGTGGGATACAGACTATCTGATGGTTGTTAAAATTGTTTGTGCTAGAGGGGGAGATAGGCCAACTACTACTTTTTTCATGGCCTGACTTCGTCGCTAACATGCTAAATGTAAGAGTTAGCTGACGTTTGGAAGTCTGACTTACCTTCTAAAGGTTAGAACCCGAATCTTAATGAAACCATATCACCTTTGTTGCGTCGATGATGATGCATAAACATAGCATTTGATAGAAATTAGTGTAAATGCTTTTCCGACTTTTTCATTTTTCATCAATGTTGACTTCCGGGAAGGCGTTGTAGTTATCACGAAATAACGCATTGACCCTTGAACTTTACTTTGTTGACGTGTCAACCAAGCATGTCTGGTGTGAAAATTAAAAGAATATTAAGCAATGTTCTACATCCGCCAAGCTAAGTGAAGTAGTCAATATCTAAAATTACCAATTTCAAGTGAAGTACGCAACGAACGAAACTGCGTGATCTACACTCCCACTTTTGGTCTGAATGAAATGCTACGTAGAAATATGAGCCGTCTGCTGTATTAGTCGATTAATAGAGTAATACCTGTTGGTGATGCTTTATAATTTAGACCAAAACATTGAAGAACAAACGAACCTGTAAATCGTGAAAACAACAAACAAATATTCTGTTTTCACATATGTTCGGTAATTTTTCGTATTGAAACTTCCGGAACTTACAAGGAAATCATTCATTTTCTCGGTCCATGATTTACCTCTTGGATGTTGTGGCAAATGCTCCATGGTTGACGGAACAAAGGTGATATGGTTTCATTAAGATTCGGGTTCTAACCTTTAGAAGGTAAGTCAGACTCCCAAACGTCAGCTAACTCTTATATTTAGCATGTTAGCGACGAAGTCAGGCCATGAAAAAAGTAGTAGGGAGTTTACTTTCAATTTTAAAATGAGTTGTAACAAAACCATATATCTATTTTTTAAATGTTAAGGGTTAAATTATATTCTATTCAGATTGTTAAACCATAATATCTGCTTTAAATGGGCTCATTAGCCTTTTGCAGATTATTGATGTAGATGTAGATGTTTGAGGTAAGAACACAAGCATGTGGCCAGTGCGGAAAATTATCGACTTTGAAATATAATGGAAGGTTCAAATGCTGCTCTTCAGGACCAGAAATAGAAGAAATGGTCTTGGAACGAGATAACCTGGGGAGATGAATCACTTCTTGATTGGCATCTCGCTCAAGACCTCAAAAGACCGTGACCACATATATTTATTAATCAAGGCAAAATGAAGTATCGTATTTACCCACTTTTTGTGAACAAGGAAATCAAAATACCAATGATAATCAGGTATTGTCAAGAGCTAAAAATGATTGATATTTATTTGGCTCCAATAATAGCTCACCTGTATTGACCTACTTTCGAACTTTCAAAAATAAATAGATCTATATTGGACACAAGTTTAAGTGATACTGTACTCTCTTTTCTTGCAAGGATTACTCATAAACTAGACTTTGTCTATCCTCAGCATTATACTCCTGTTATGTATCATGTAGTTTGACTTTTACGCCTAAAATTACTAAAAATAAGAAAGTTATTTGTAAAATTCTAAATTGACTCACCTTTCTTTGGCGCCCTCTTGTGGTGACTAATATCGCTCTTATTTTGAGATGAGATTTTGGCGCTTGAAACTCATAATATTTTTCTAAATTGCTGAAGAAATAGAATAAATTAATATCATATTTCTTTTGAATTTAATTATGCTTTTAATGGCTTTTTGGGTTATTATAAATAGATGGTACAAACTTGTCACATGTATTGATAATGTCACGTGACCTTGTGTGGTTGTGTAGGAAATCAAATAGTAATCAAAGTTGTAACTAAATCGGGATAAACATGTATTTTACAAAAACATGAAGTAATAGGAGTGTTTCTAATGGCACATAACGATGCAAAGACGCCTCAGGTAACTATGGAAATTTGATTTTTAAGAAATGCTAGTAAGAATGCCGGTTATTTCTGACCCCCAATTTCTGAATTTTTTTCTCGGTTCAAATTTCATATCAACAGCTAAAAATAATTTTATCAGGGAACTCTAGTGCTAAGTTAACCAGTATTTGATTAATAAACAAAGTTTTAGCATAGTATAGCAAATGGTAGACTAATTATATCATTTGATCTTGGGTGTGGTTTACTATATTTGCACATATAGATGGCTATGCATATCTTGATATTCCCAGCCCATGTTAAAGGTCTTTTACAAAACGTTTACAAAAATGAAAGAAATCTTAGAAACATTTACCCTACTTCAATCAATGCATAACATTCTAAAGTATTGTTTTTCTAACCATATCGGGCTATCTGGAGTCGGTAGACAGTGTAATTGACGAAAAATGTATTTGGATCTTGTTATTTTCCATGTTGTTTGACCAGGAAGTCTTGCCAATGTGCATGCATGTAACCGGAAGCGGAAATCTCATGGCATGGAAGTGCATGAGCATTTACCAACTTCCTGAGATGCCATCTTGAAAATTATCAACTCTTCAACATTTTTCGTCATTTGCACTGTCTCCCTACTCCAGCAAGCCTGATATGGTTAGAAAAACGATACTTTAGAATTTTATGCATCGATTGAAGTAGGGTAAATGTTTCCAAGATTTCTTACATTTTTACAAAAGACCTTTATAAAGGACAGGAAATATCAACATATGCAAAGCTATCTCTCTGGAGATACTGAGAGATAGCTTTGTGCAAACTAAGAAAGGTGTGGTCAGTAACTCATCTGGGCCAGTTCCAAGAATTGTGCTATGCATAGTGGCTGCTTTTCAGTTATTTTAATGAAATTTATATTTCAGTTTTCTTTCGTTTCTTAGACCTATAGGCCTTTTTGTCAGAATATCATATTATGCATATTTAAACTGTACAAGTCCCTCTAAATGCATTAGCTTACTTGTCAGGTCCAAAGTTCATTGCAGCATGCAAGCACCCTGTCTAGGTCATGACCCCGGGGGGTTCACTGTATACAAAATTTGGCGGGGGTCCTAGGCTGAACCCTCAGATATCAATATATTCCCAAACCAATCTTTTGAATTTCAATGTGTTCCCATACCAACCAAAGTAATGCCTAAAAGCCATACCAAAATGTCCAAATATAAGACCAATACCAAATGTCCAAATATAGGACCAATGCCATCCAGATATAAGACCAAAGGCATTCAAAATGTCTAAAGCCCTGGAAAGAAGGTAGATCTTTGAGGAAAACAATTCAAAACAACCCCGAATTAAAGATTGGTGTAACTACTAGATCAATGCCATACCACAAGTGAGATGTAACATATTTTCTAAGACCATTCTCATACCAGAAAGTGGAAAAATCCAACCATTGCCAGACCTCAGAAGTCATATAATTTAGGGGGCATTCTCATCCCAGATCCTAAAATTTGGGTCCATTGCCATACCAAATGTCAAAAAAGGTACCCCATGTGGGCCGAGGATCCCTGTCAAGGTTTATATACAGTGAACCCACTGGGGTCATGACACTACAGCCCATTTTACTGTTTTAATATGTCGCTAAAGCCTAAGAAATAAGAAATCAAAAGATCATTATGCAATGATATATAGAAAAATATATTCATATTATACACGAATGCCATTTGTATATCTTGGATTGCTTCTGGTTTGGCTAATAAAGTGTGTGCCACTTATATTTGGATGCTTCTCTGCCATGTTATTTTCCCAAAAAATTAACATGGCTGACATTCCTGAAATTACAAGAGGCCACAGGCTTATTGCACAAAAAAACTAAATAATCTGAAATGTACAAATGTCATTTATGTACAGTATGGTTATACTTTGTCTATATATTATTGCACAATGGTCTCCTGATTTTTTCATTTTTTGGGGGTTTACTGACGCATTATAACCGCAGCGCTTGCATTAGGCTCTGAAAAATGTGAGTCCCAATGAAGGAAAAATTTTTAAAAAGTGAGTCCCGACCAAAAAAAGTGTGTCCTCCAATATATAAGCTAAATTAGCTAAATTAGCTATAATGGGCTATTTTGGAATGTGCATGACTTGATCTTACATGTCTTATGTGTTTTCAAAATGTTGCCATTCGTGCCCTGTGATTTAAACATGTTCTTTATATTCAATTCACTTATGTTATGTAACCTCCAGCCTGTTATAGTAAGTACTATTATACTGTGATTATCTTTATACTTGCTGTTTGCACTGAACAACCGCTTGAAAAAATAAGAACATTTTTTAGTATGAATTTGTCTGACGCTCAGTAATTTAGTGTATCACTACATTTTCTACATGATCAGAATCCTCTGATTTATATCATAAATTAGACCATTTTGACGTTATATAATCACAAATAGACTACTTCACCTAGGTAAGTATGCATCATTTGTACAATTGAACTCATTTTGAAGGTTTTATATCAGCTTTTCAGTGAGAAAAATATGTCACATGCAAACTGATAACCTATTATCGCCCATTACAATAGTTCGTTTTTCTGCATTCTTTTTCTTTTTTACTCAAAATAAAGTTGTAAATCTCACATATTTTGATCTTAATATACACCTCAAAGAAGTCAAACATGATCAACTATTGAGATTTTCAAGATTTTCAAAAAATGTTCAAAGTTTTGACTCAAATTTTTTTCCGTCCCAAAAACGGAAATATTTTTATTTTTCCGTCCTACAATTTTTTTTTTTGCGTCACTTACATGTAAGGGACGCCGTTAATGCAAGCCCTGTAACAGTGAAATGGGCTTTATAGAGTGCTAGTAACAATGCTTGGTTGGTGCTTTTATAATGTATGCAGAAAGATAAGTCTGAAATGCTATGATCGGTTATAAGAAGGAAATATACTAAAATAAGGAAAAGGTGTTTTTCCATCAAATCTAGAAGAGCGTTTCATTTGTGTTATTTAAATTCTTTATGCATCCATGACTATTAGCATAGCACTATAAATAATTTGTGTCTTTATGATATATAAAATCCAGTAATAACATGATTCATTCTTTAGTTGATTAAACCAGAGGTTCATTTGAATAATTGTAAGAGGCACAATCAAGACCCCTGGACTTTTCTGCATGTTTAGTTGTACCACATATTTCCCTCTCTACTTACCAACAAAGAAGTCACAAATCCCCTGCTTTATGTACTCATTTTTTGTGATTGTACTGACCAGTTGAATTATTTTCGCCAAAATCAATTAAAGCTGAAATTTGAATATACCAAAGAAATACATTGTTATCTGATCTGATTGGGCATTAAATTTGTATATCATTATGGTCACGTGACTAAGGGAACTCTAAAATGTCAGTTCTGGAAATTCAAAAAGAAATGAAAATTATAACGAGACACTCATTGTTCGGCAGAGAATTCGATAGCACGATGTATCTTTAACCTTTTGCTTTTCTTTAATTTCATAAAATGGTAATGGTTTGGTTATGAGAAAAATAGTTAGCGTCATACAAATGAATTTTTTCTTAAATATACTCAAAATTATGCCAAGAACTATAATTGTAGATTTAAATGTTGGGATTATTGTTTTGTCCTGGTATTAGTAACATTCTTTTCAATTTTTATCTTTCCCTTTTCAGGTCACATTATCAGCTGAAGCAGAGGCTTTTGTTCCTGGGAAGTATGTTGTTGGGAAGGATGGCCCTCCCCCGAATGGACTCCCGTCATACATAATGAACTGTTATCCCTTTGTAACACAACATGATAACAAGCCAAGGTATGTCATTTGTAACCCAACATGATAACAAGCCAAGGTATGTCATTTGTAACCCAACATGATAACAAGCCAAGGTATGTCATTTGTAACACAACATGATAACAAACCAAGGTATGTCATTTGTAACACAACATGATAACAAACCAAGCTATGTCATTTGTAACACAACATGATAACAAGCCAAGGTATGTCATTTGTAACCCAACATGATAACAAGCCAAGGTATGTCATTTGTAACACAACATGATAACAAACCAAGGTATGTCATTTGTAACACAACATGATAACAAACCAAGCTATGTCATTTGTAACACAACATGATAACAAACCAAGGTATGTCATTTGTAACACAACATGATAACAAACCAAGGTATGTCATTTGTAACACAACATGATAACAAACCAAGCTATGTCATTTGTAACACAACATGATAACAAACCAAGGTATGTTATTTGTAACACAACATGATAACAAACCAAGGTATGTCATTTGTAACACAACATGATAACAAACCAAGGTATGTCATTTGTAACACAACATGATAACAAACCAAGGTATGTCATTTGTAACACAACATGATAACAAACCAAGGTATGTCATTTGTAACACAACATGATAACAAACCAAGGTATGTTATTTGTAACACAACATGATAACAAACCAAGGTACGTCATTTGTAACACAACATGATAACAAACCAAGGTATGTCATTTGTAACACAACATGATAACAAACCAAGGTATGTCATTTGTAACACAACATGATAACAAACCAAGGTATGTCATTTGTAACACAACATGATAACAAACCAAGGTATGTCATTTGTAACACAACATGATAACAAACCAAGGTATGTCATTTGTAACACAACATGATAACAAACCAAGGTATGTCATTTGTAACACAACATGATAACAAACCAAGCTATGTCATTTGTAACACAACATGATAACAAACCAAGGTATGTTATTTGTAACACAACATGATAACAAACCAAGGTATGTCATTTGTAACACAACATGATAACAAACCAAGGTATGTCATTTGTAACACAACATGATAACAAACCAAGGTATGTCATTTGTAACACAACATGATAACAAACCAAGGTATGTCATTTGTAACACAACATGATAACAAACCAAGGTATGTTATTTGTAACACAACATGATAACAAACCAAGGTACGTCATTTGTAACACAACATGATAACAAACCAAGGTATGTCATTTGTTACACAACATGATAACAAACCAAGGTATGTCATTTGTAACACAACATGATAACAAACCAAGGTATGTCATTTGTAACACAACATGATAACAAACCAAGGTATGTCATTTGTAACACAACATGATAACAAACCAAGGTATGTCATTTGTAACACAACATGATAACAAACCAAGGTATGTCATTTGTAACACAACATGATAACAAACCAAGGTATGTCATTTGTAACACAACATGATAACAAACCAAGGTATGTCATTTGTAACACAACATGATAACAAGCCAAGGTGTGTCATTTGTAACACAACATGATAACAAGCCAAGGTATGTCATTTGTAACACAACATGATAACAAACCAAGGTATATCATTTGTAACACAACATGATAACAAACCAAGGTATGTTATTTGAGTCTTTCATACATAATGAACTGTTATCCCTTTGTAACACAACATGATAACAAGCCAAGGTATGTCATTTGTAACACAACATGATAACAAGCCAAGGTGTGTCATTTGTAACACAACATGATAACAAGCCAAGGTATGTCATTTGTAACACAACATGATAACAAGCCAAGGTATGTCATTTGTAACACAACATGATAACAAGCCAAGGTGTCATTTGAGTCTTTCATACATAATGAACTGTTATCCCTTTGTAACACAACATGATAACAAGCCAAGGTATGTCATTTGTAACACAACATGATAACAAGCCAAGGTATGTCATTTGTAACACAACATGATAACAAACCAAGGTATGTCATTTGTAACACAACATGATAACAAACCAAGGTATATCATTTGAGTCTTTCATACATAATGAACCATTATCCCTTTGTAACACAACATGATAAGAAGCCAAGGTATGTCATTTGTAACACAGCATGATAACAAGCCAAGGTATATCATTTGAGTCTTTCATACATAATGAACCATTATCCCTTTGTAACACAACATGATAACAAGCCAAGGTATGTCATTTGTAACACAACATGATAACAAACCAAGGTACGTCATTTGTAACACAACATGATAACAAACCAAGGTATGTCATTTGTAACACAACATGATAACAAACCAAGGTATGTCATTTGTAACACAACATGATAACAAACCAAGGTATGTCATTTGTAACACAACATGATAACAAACCAAGGTACGTCATTTGTAACACAACATGATAACAAACCAAGGTATGTCATTTGTTACACAACATGATAACAAACCAAGGTATGTCATTTGTAACACAACATGATAACAAACCAAGGTATGTCATTTGTAACACAACATGATAACAAACCAAGGTATGTCATTTGTAACACAACATGATAACAAACCAAGGTATGTCATTTGTAACACAACATGATAACAAACCAAGGTATGTCATTTGTAACACAACATGATAACAAACCAAGGTATGTCATTTGTAACACAACATGATAACAAACCAAGGTATGTCATTTGTAACACAACATGATAACAAGCCAAGGTGTGTCATTTGTAACACAACATGATAACAAGCCAAGGTATGTCATTTGTAACACAACATGATAACAAACCAAGGTATATCATTTGTAACACAACATGATAACAAACCAAGGTATGTTATTTGAGTCTTTCATACATAATGAACTGTTATCCCTTTGTAACACAACATGATAACAAGCCAAGGTATGTCATTTGTAACACAACATGATAACAAGCCAAGGTGTGTCATTTGTAACACAACATGATAACAAGCCAAGGTATGTCATTTGTAACACAACATGATAACAAGCCAAGGTATGTCATTTGTAACACAACATGATAACAAGCCAAGGTGTCATTTGAGTCTTTCATACATAATGAACTGTTATCCCTTTGTAACACAACATGATAACAAGCCAAGGTATGTCATTTGTAACACAACATGATAACAAGCCAAGGTATGTCATTTGTAACACAACATGATAACAAACCAAGGTATGTCATTTGTAACACAACATGATAACAAACCAAGGTATATCATTTGAGTCTTTCATACATAATGAACCATTATCCCTTTGTAACACAACATGATAAGAAGCCAAGGTATGTCATTTGTAACACAGCATGATAACAAGCCAAGGTATATCATTTGAGTCTTTCATACATAATGAACCATTATCCCTTTGTAACACAACATGATAACAAGCCAAGGTATGTCATTTGTAACACAACATGATAACAAACCAAGGTACGTCATTTGTAACACAACATGATAACAAACCAAGGTATGTCATTTGTAACACAACATGATAACAAACCAAGGTATGTCATTTGTAACACAACATGATAACAAACCAAGGTATGTCATTTGTAACACAACATGATAACAAGCCAAGGTATGTCATTTGTAACACAACATGATAACAAACCAAGGTACGTCATTTGTAACACAACATGATAACAAACCAAGGTATGTCATTTGTAACACAACATGATAACAAACCAAGGTATGTCATTTGTAACACAACATGATAACAAACCAAGGTACGTCATTTGTAACACAACATGATAACAAACCAAGGTATGTCATTTGTAACACAACATGATAACAAACCAAGGTATGTCATTTGTAACACAACATGATAACAAACCAAGGTACGTCATTTGTAACACAACATGATAACAAACCAAGGTATGTCATTTGTAACACAACATGATAACAAGCCAAGGTATGTCATTTGTAACACAACATGATAACAAGCCAAGGTATGTCATTTGTAACACAACATGATAACAAACCAAGGTATGTCATTTGTAACACAACATGATTACAAACCAAGGTATGTTATTTGTAACACAACATGATAACAAACCAAGGTATGTCATTTGTAACACAACATGATAACAAGCCAAGGTATGTCATTTGTAACCCAACATGATAACAAGCCAAGGTATGTCATTTGTAACACAACATGATAACAAACCAAGGTACGTCATTTGTAACACAACATGATAACAAACCAAGGTATGTCATTTGTAACACAACATGATAACAAGCCAAGGTATGTCATTTGTAACACAACATGATAACAAGCCAAGGTATGTCATTTGTAACACAACATGATAACAAGCCAATGTATGTCATTTGAGTCTGTCCGCAGCTTTGAGATATAATAAGATAAACATCAGTCACGTGGCAAGAGTGCTCGTCTTTGTAAATAATAAGCCAATACATATTATATACAGTTTTCATTTCAAGATATTTATTGCAAGGCTCTCATGTTGTGATGTGAAGTAATTTTCAATTTCTGAAAATCCCTACATTCGGTTGTTCTTATTCCTGGAGAAATCACTGTTATCAAAAGATTGCTGTCGGTTTAGAGACTCAACCAATTAAGTTTAGGAATGGGTGTTTCAATACTGAAAAGTTTTCCATCCGACTAAATCCATGTCTTGAAATTTCATGAAATTAAAGCTTTACTGACTTCAAAGATTGAGTAAAGTGACATAAAGGGTGATCAATTTCTTTGTGAAAATAGATAATTCTCCATCCTGATTTTCAATATTTTAAGAATTGAGTTTTAAGGGGGGGGGGTCAGCAGTATAACTTAAAATGATTAGTTAAATTTTAAACAGACAATGAACTTTTGATGCCTCTCCATGTAACAATCATACCTAGAATGTAAATTTAAATCACAGGCAAAAATAATGACTAATTATTAAACAGTAATACCACAAGTCTATTTACACAAAGATGCTCACTGTCACTACACCTGTTCATATGCTTTGTTGTTACATATCACACCTTTCATTTATTTCCTTCGTTTATTAATCTTCATGTAGTGATTCAGGTGTCAAAGTGACATTGTATGATTTGTTGGCTTATAATTATCTTTACACTTGTAATTGGGTATAAGACATGTATCCTCAAACATAAGAGATCGAAGTACATGAGCACCCGGAAGCTACTGTAGTTATAAAGGTCAAGGTCAAAGTGGCCTAGTATTTATTTCATAAAAAGATATGCTACTCTTATCATCTGTAAACAGGCTGTTTTGTGTTTTATTCGGGCGAGGCATTAACTCTGTCATGCTCATCTTATACTCTTCCTACTACTGCAAATGAGTCACTTACAAGAGCCCCAAAATATTAATAGATAAAATACAAAATGTTCATGGATGTGATTGCTTAAACATAAAGCATTCACAATTTAGAAATGAATTTTCAAAATCAAATACAACCCAGAGGAACAAGACGTTCAATCCCTTTGATTTATTCGTCCTAGATTTCACTGGTCCCCAACTGGTTATAGTCTTTACAACAAAATAGATGAACTTTTGTCAAGAAATTTTTGTTTCCATCATTTTCACCAAGAAGGATGTTGATTTGTACCCAAATATTTTACCCATATGTTAATAGTAACATCCAGTTACTGAAAAGCTGGTCAGTCACGAGCAAATATATCCAGCAATCTGAGAACTCCTCACTTTAGCAACTAGGACGTTATCTGGTAAATTTGATCAAATCAGACATACTTTGACGAATGGATATGTACATGTACATGTACTTCCTTGTTATACCTTCTGTTTTTTATTAAAGATTTTTATTATGAATAGATAAGTGTTATTTTATCAGAGAGTCAACGTCCATTATTATGAATAAAGTTGACTAAAAAATCATAATTTCGTTGACTTTTGAAAATTATCTTTATATTAGTTTAAATAACTTTTCTGTTACAATTTCCAATTTAAGTTGCCAGTACCAATTTATATAGAGAATAGAAAAAATTGTTGCATAATATTTTGATGTTTGTGTTCCAGAGCGCCAATGACTTGGCAAGGGAGGCCAAGGGGGCCAAATATTGTAGGACCTAGGCCCCCTCTTTCCCAACAAGGTAAGCCTTTTTATTAGAGTCTGAACACATTTATATCATTGCCGCAATGGTAGTATAATTATAGTTGTGGTACATTGGTTCGATGAGATAGAAGGTCTAAAGGTATATTGCCCGTATTTATCAATTATATAACTTTTATTGACATCTTGTATCATTACATGATTACATTTGTTTGAAACAAAAAAGAATGAAAATCCTTGAAGGTCCATGATGCATGTATCAATTGGTCAAAGGAATCGCTCAGTATTACTGGAGTATTAAAGAAATTACATATTTAATTGTGTCTATTCTTATGAAAACTCCCACACCCCCTCTCCAAACTTTGTCAGTTGAATTTCTGAATGACATCAATTTTTAAATTGCCTCCCTAAGTAAAACCCGGACATCATTTATCGTGAAGATAAAATGGATCATTTCAGATAATCCCTTTTTGATTCAGAAATTGTGAAGGTCCTGTAGTTGAATCATTGTGAAAAACAATTCCATTATTTATGTTGTCTTAAAGACAGAAGGAAAATGTTGATTCATCACATGATACTTATGTAAATGGGCCTATTCTCATTGTGTTACATTTCTGGTTTATTTAATAGGACACCATATTCCTCTCTGCAGACTTTTGACTCAACATTCCCTTATTCTCAGCATGAAGATAATTTTAAAAGAGATTAAATGAAGTTTAAGAAAGAGGTATAAATGAATAAACGTATATAGAGATGGGAAAGTCTAATGAAAAACACTGATAGATAAAAAAAACAAGATGCAGTTAAGCCACAGCCACTGGAGTATAAGTTGAAGGACAAACAAGAGAATATCATGTTTTTTCTCTAGTAGTCAATTGCACAGCCTTGAAAGATGACACATATAAATAAATGAAGAATCAGTTCAAGTTCTCGGGCTGTATGTTAGACTTTATTTTTTGAAGGATATTTTATTTTATGTTAAGATATCAGAAGTCAAGGTCACAAAATTTGTTGATCTTTAATCTGTGACGATATATTAACTTTGAATTTGTTTTGAAACGATGCCCCTTTTAAGATAAAATAAGACATATAATTGCATTATGATTTCCATATTGGCTGGCTCTATATTTCACTGGAGGTTTACAAAACTTTTGAATACTCATATTAAATAAAGAGGAAGTTTGAGTCTCGTAATAGCTTTTTCATTCATTTAAGTATGTGTAACCATTACTGTACAAATGAAAAGGATCATTTAATAGGTACTATGAAAATTGGGTCAAAAACACAAGTGATGGGGATCTGGGGTCAGGAGAAGCTGGGAATATAACAAGGGAAATTGAAAAAGCCAATGAAATAATAAGGCAGAAATGTTCTGAAAATTGCATGTATCAGGATGAACAAAAAAACACAAATGAAAAAGCATAAAATTGAGGATTTTTGACTGCGAGGACTGTAATGTTGTTGGACAAATTGAGAAACATATTAACTGAAAACCATTTTCGGTGAATGGTCAGTAATAATGATTTCTTTTTCATATATGATGTCATTTTTATAAATCAATTTGCTAAACCACAAAAATAGAAGTTTTGAAGACACAAGACTCTATTTTTAAAGCAGGAGATTCTTGGCATGAAACTGCATAAAACTCCAATAAATTAGACTCTGTCAGGCGCAAATAACAAAACACCAATTACAAAATGTACAAATCTTTTTGTCCTTGTTACAACACAATTTTTGCTGTTCTCCCTTACAAAACATATCATGTTTGCAACCATATTTCGCTCATTCCTCTCAAAATGTGAAACATGGTGAGATTTAATGTTAAATTTTTGATGGATAACTTTGAATATGACATCTTTGATTGTTTCTTGTTCCTTCAATTTATCCTTAATTAGTTTAGTTTCATAAATAAATTTTGTGTTTCATGAATAATGTTGTAAGGAATATGCCTGGAATATGCCAGGCCCTAATGGCTGAGACTTAGCATCTGTATTTCTCCTAATCGACGAATAAGTTTCCCATCAATTTGGGATCGAAAAGCAATCTCATGCATTTGTGCTAAATCTCATATTTAGAGATATCTGGATATTGGAGTCCAGGGTTCGTCTAAAATGGGGAATTGCTCACTCATCCGGCTTATTTTATGATCTTATTTAAGTCTGGGTGAAATATATGGTTCAATATATTTCTGCGTAAAATATATATTCCTAAATATATTTCTGGGTTACTTGAAACAAGCTTTTTTGCCGCTTCTGCATTATTGTGTATAAAAAAAATTTTAATTGTTGATACATATCGTTAAATATTTCTTTTATTAATTCAAACCTAAGATCCTGTAATTTTTCAGTTCCTGTAAACCCTTGGAAGATACACATATTTCCCTTGGGATAAACCCTTTATCCAAAACCTCCCAGAACATAACTCTCATATATTTCATTCAACTTTTCATTAAATTAGTTGTATAGAATAAAAAACAGATACAAATTCTAGGGATGCAAGTATTGAGTTCTGAGCACATGTGATATCATGTGGTAAGGTGATTTAAGGTGCACATCTTTCTGATATTTAACCCCAGGTGCTCTGAAGGAAGTAAAATGATATATAATAGTTCATGAATATAATATATACGCATGTTATCTTTTAACCTCTTGAATACCCAGAATGACGGATATATCTGTCACAAATAAAATCCATTTGGAACCCAGAGCGACAGATACATCTGTCACAGAATTTTTCACTAAAACTGCTCTAACTTTGGCATTTTTTATCCAATCTTCACAACTAATGTTTTAGAATGTATGTAATGGGTCTATGTTTACTCTTCTTATGAAATCAAATATCAAACATAGTGTTTTTAGATGTAAATATCCAGAAAACTAGCAGAAAATGAAAAATGCTCTGGTTTCAAACCCTTTTTAGAGGCTGGTATTCAAGAGGTTAAGAAGTAATATGATATATGATAGTTCATGTTATCTTTTATTGACACTTGCTGCATGGTAACTGCTAATTAGAAATATTATGTGCAAACTTAAGACCCGATGCAAAATTTAAAAGTATTATTTGATCATCCAAATATTTGTCATGGCTTAAAATTGTGAGACATTCTTAGAAACAGTTGACTTTCATTTTACTTTGCTAAGTTATTAAAAATTATTAAAAAAAATTATCTTTTCTAAATTATGCTAAACTGTCAAAATAAAGGTAAACAGAAAGTTAGTTCCTCTAAACATGAATAAAATAGAATCAATGGACCATCTGGTGCCTTATGTAACATATGACTTTGACATTGTGTTGCAAGTTGGAATGACATCATATTTGCATGGTATGTGAGGAAGTTTCAAAAAACAACAAATCAGATTAAACGCATTTTGTTTTGATATATTTATTTTTGTATGCAATTAAAGATTTAAAAATTGCTCAATTATTCAAGCTAAAACAAATTCACCACATCTTAAAATAGTAACAGAGGGTTAGAACATTAGAAGATCGAGATTTTATCGGTAAAAGGGGACTTGTGGTCACAAAAGTAAATTTGTGGAAAATGATATATCTAAGTGATATTATGGTTCAAATGAAGGGCCACAGATTTTTTCACCCTTGGTTAGAAGTTGGTGAATGAGACATTCATGTACTTCGATTAATAAATTCATTCATGAAGAGGCGGGAGGGTACAAGGGCCTCAGGTATTTAAATTTAAAAAACATACTATTTTAAAGTTGAAAAAAGTAATTGAAAATGTTTTCAACTTGGGAAATATATAAAGCAGTTTTTCCTTTGGTCAGCTCATTTTTATTGATTAGATTCACATAAAATCTATAACATACCTATACACATACAGAATTATTTCTTAACATTGATTTTTGCCATGCACATATGTTAAAGACATCTGATCTTATTTGTCTCTGATTTTTTTATCAATTAGAATATTGATTTTTACACCCACTCCCTTTTTCCTGAAAAAAAGTGAAAAGAGCTCTCTGAGAAAATGGTTAGTTGTGGCAATCAAGGTTGTCACTTGAGCTGGTGAGACGTATATAGCTAAGATACGTACCTATTCTATACCTGGTGATAGAATATCATCTTTCATTAATTATTGTTAGTCTAATTATGGATATAAATTTATATAAATCTGAGCCTGGTTTATGTTACATACTTATAATATATTACTTATCATGTATTTCTTCTTCAAGTACCGAAGTAAGTAATTGTTGGGTCATTGTTCCCTGCTATACTTGTGCCCTATATAAGGAAACATATGAATCATGCCATCATGAAGAATACACATTTCCTAAAAAAAGTCACAATGAAATATTTATCCCTTATTAAAATTTTACAGTATCATTGTTTTTTGAATTCTAAAAACCCAAAGTGTATAACTGATATAACTACCATGCCTGTTGAGAGGATACTCCTTGCACATGTCTTACTGTTAAATGTTTGTGCAAAAGCATGAACTTTTATTTCCAGGACTTGGACACAGCTGCTCTGACTAAATGCATTATTCTTTCTATAAAACAAACAGAACGTGATGATTTTGTTCTTCCCTACAAATCACACCATGGAAATAAGAGAAAAGTATTTTAATTAACTGAAGTCCTTTCATAAACTATAGCCCTTTCATTAACTCTAGTCCTTTCATTAACTGAAGTCATTTTATTAACTGAAGTCCTTTCATTAACTGAAGTCCTTTCATAAACTATAGCCCTTTCATTAACTCTAGTCCTTTCATTAAATGAAGTCCTTTCATTAACTGAAGTCCTTTCTTTAACTGAAGTCATTTTATTAACTAACTGAAGGAAGTCATTTCATTAACTGAAGTCCTTTCTTTAACTGAAGTCATTTCATAAACTATAGCCCTTTCATTAACTGGAGTCATTTTATTGACTGAATTATTTTCTTTAACTGAAGTCCTTTCATTAACCGAAGTCATTTTATTAACTGAAGTCCTTTCTTTAACTGAAGTCATTTCATTAACTATAGCCCTTTCATTAACTGGAGTCATTTTATTAACTGAATTATTTTCTTTAACTGAAGTCCTTT